AGGCGAATGTTCCACATGCGGACCAAGGACTGCAGCTTGACCACTGCCCATTCTTGCTGTGCATAAAACTCTAGGGCTGCTCGTTTTCTCTTCTCCAGCAGCTTTGCCAGCATCACCTTCCACCAGTGCTGAATCATACATGCTCTGAGTGCTGCGTGCAGTAATGTCCTGCGCACCAGAGTGCCCCGCCACCAGGCCTGGATCTTTATGGCTTTCTGCTCTCGGTCAGGGAGCTTCTTTTTCTTTGGGGAGAGAGGTTACAAAGATAAAGAAGCGATTCTCACGGAATGTTCCGCACCCACCTCAGCTCCAGGGCAGGCCAAGAAGAGCTTCCTCAGAAGGTCAGGAGCACTGGGCGGGGAGCCAGTAGACCAGATAGGTGTCCTACCCCTGCCCCTCTCTGCTTAATGGACCTGGTCGCGTCACATTGTCCCCTGCATCTCAGGGTCCTCATCTATAAAATGGAGCATTCTGGCACTAGCTATCACACCATTACATGGACCTGGGTGGCCTGTCTGGAACAAGCTCACCGTGTACCATGTTCCACCTGGGCCTGGCCACCTACCTGGGCTTGCATATTCCTTCCCTTCCACCCCTCCCGGAGGCTGGAGAAGTGGCATCCTTTGTTTGCCTTTCCTGCTTGACTCCCGCTCAACCCCACAACCTGCTGTGTCCTTCCGTCAAGTCACAGTATTAGAAGTTTCCCTGCTCCACGCAGTATGGAGTCCTCATTTACTTCTCATTTTCACTTCTTTTGATTCTCACATCTTAAACTTCAGTTAGCATGCATATGCACACATGCACTCACACACACACACACACACACACACACACACACACACTTCTATACTCAGTTTTCCCTGTCCATGGCAATGCCTTCCCCAAACACAGCCTCACCGCTCCACTCCCTAGCTTAGCATGGTCTGATTCCCACTTGCCAGGGGTTCCCCTCCCTACAACCAAGTCTCTGTGCCTCAGTCACCCACCTTTCTCTGACCAAGAAGGAACTAGGAGGAGAGGAGAACCAAGGATGAGTTGGATCCCTATTCATTCCAGCCAGTCTGGATAGGGCAACCATTCATCTTGTTTGGCCTGGGACATTCTCGGTTTATGCTTATTGTTCCTGAGGAATCATTTATAGCACTAATTTTGCTCACAAATGGAACCTGGTTCAGATGCCAGATTCCAGGATCATGCCATGCTATGGGGCCCAGAGTCAGAGATGTTGTGAATAAGAGTCCCCTTTAACCTGAGGGCCTCCATTAACCTACCTTAGTTGGAGGGGGTAGAGTTGGAAGTAGAGGCTCTTCTTTCTTCGTCTCTTTCTTTTTCTTTGTCTTTTTTTCTGTCTTTTCTTTCTTTTTGTCTTTGTCTTTCTCTTTCTTTTTTTCTTTTTCTTTTTCTTTGTCTTTGTCTTTCCCTTTCTTCTCTTCCTCTTTCAGTGCTGTGGTTTCATCAGGATCCTTCTTAATGATTTCATCCTTGTGTAATCAGAGTTTAGAAGGGAAAGATATCAGTAAATGATTTCTGTACAACTGTGTGCCAAATCCACCACATGCTCCTGCCTTGCCCAAAGACCCTAGATATAGTACTCACATCGTCGGTTAACTGTGAAATCCACGTTCCTCTGCCTGCAATTTTGGTTGGCTCTCTTACACATCACTGAGTGCCCATGACTTGGATGTAGATGGTTCAAATCCCCACAGATCTTCAAACCCCTAAGTTACCCATAGTTAAGAGCTTAATTGTCCTATCACTTTGGGTCTGTACTCTTCTTTGAGATCCATACAATTTGTTGCTCATACCAGTAGTTTGTTCCTTTGTATTGCTGAGTAGTAGATGTACCACAGTTTGATTAACCAGTCACCCATTTGGGTTATGTTCACCCTTTTTTGTGATTATCTTACTATTAAATTTTTTAAAAAGATTTTATTTATTCATGTGAGACAGAGTTCCTTGTGAAGCAGGGAGACCAATACAGGACTTGATCTCAGGATCCTGGGATCATGACCTGAGCCGAAGACAGACGCTTAACCCAATGAGCCACCTAGGCACCCCCTACTATGAAATTTTTTTTTCTACTATGAAATTTTTGTAGAAGTTTTTATATTTTCAGTTTTGTTGGATACATACCTAAGAGTGGAATGCTGGGTCTTATGGTAATTCTATATTTAACTCTTGAGAGACCAACAAACTGTTTCCACATCAGCTATTCCATTTTACATTTCTGAGTGCAATGTCTGTAAGATCCAGTTTCTCCAATCCTACTATCTGCTATATTGCAGATATTACCATATTGCAGAGATGCAGCTGACTGCATTTGCTGATGGACTGATGTGAATAGGGATGGATAGAGATAAGTGAAAGGGAGGATTCATAAAGGAATTTGAATCAAATAGATTTGGTGAATGGTGAAGGCAAAAGGAGAAGAAATTTTTGGATAGAATCATGGAGTCGAGGGGTGCCTGTGTGGCTCAGTTGTTGAACATCTGCCTTTGGCTCAGGTCATGATCTCGGGGTCCTGGGATTGAGCCATACATTGGGCTCCCTGCTTGGCAGGGAGTCCACTTCTCCCTTTCCCTCTGACCCTCCTCCCTGCTTGTGCTCTCTGTCTTAAATAAACAAATAAAATCTAAAAAAAAAAAAAGAATCATGAAGTTGGGGAGTGGGAATCCTGTTTCTGCCATGTTCTGTTTGAAAAAAACTATTAGAGATCAAAGCAAGATATCAAGTAGGAAGCTATACCTTGGATATGGAACTCAAAGAAGGTATCAGGGATAGTGATGTACCTTTGAGTGTCATCAGGATATAACAGATGCTTAAGACCATGTGACTGGATGATGTTATCTGGGGATACACATTAAGAGGAAATAAAATAAGTTTTAAGACTGAGCATCTCATAGGTCAGAGGCTCATCAATGAAGAAGCTATTGATAAGATTAAGAAAAAGCAATCAATACTCTTGACCAGTGTAGTTTCTGTGCAGGTAGGGGGAAGGGTAGCAAAACTGGAGTGACTTTAGGAGATGCTGTATGTGAATGGAAATGATATGGTGAAAAGGTAGAAACTGATTTAGAGAAAAAAATGAAATCACAGAATGACATCATTGCAAAGGCAAGAGGTGAGTGGGCAAAAGAAAAAGAAGAGTCCAGAAGAGCAAAGTGTTGGAGGTGGTTTTGGATGGGGCAAAGACAACTCATCTCAACTCAAAGAAGACAACAAGCGTGGTACAAATGGCACTGAGATGGGAGATGAGATGGTAGGGAGATGGGGGGCCAGTCCAGGGCCATTTTCTCAGTTAAGTGTATAGTAGCATCATCATTTGAAGTCAAAAGATAAAGAAGAAAGACTGCTCAATTGAGGAGAGAAGAAAGAATGTGAGATCTTCAAGTCAAAAAGCAAATTTACAGAGAAGTATTTTGAGAAGTCATAATACCACAGCTATCTGTGGTCCTGAATATGAATCAAAGCCATGCAGTATGATGATTTGTTTTTCTTCAAGGAAATTTAGCTCTTTGGTGCAGGATGAAGGAGGTGAAAGGTTAGGCTCATACAAAGGTGGAGGAAGGGCCAAAGGTGGTAAAATTGTAAGAATCCTCAACAGAGAATGCAATCTGAGCTGGGGACAAGGGTAGCACAACACTGGTAAGGTCAGTCTTTGGGAAGTCCTAATTAGAACTGGATAGATGCAGAAGGATCAATGATTCTAACACAGAGGTTGACAAACTTTCTTCTGTAAAAGGGTCAGATTGTATTTTAGGATTGATGTCAATACAGTCCTTGTCATGACCACTCGCCTGCAGGCCATAGTTTTCTCACCTCTGCCCTAAAGCATAGAAAGCAAAAGTCAGAGTCCAAAGTGATTGAAATCAGTATTATTGTTGCTATGGTCAGTTATGACATGAACCAGGGCAATGCCACCTGAAGTATGGTGAGCATTTGTTACCACTGAGATTAAGCACAAAGATTGAGATTAAGCACTTAGAAATGTGTATATCAAATTGAAATAGCAATTTTATGTGTGTTCAATCTAACCATTAAAAGCAAACTTTATATTCTGTATATCTTTTCTACTTATTTTTCAAATTCATTTTTATTTTTGTACAAAAGAATTGGTCTATAATGGACTGGAGATTTAAAAAAAGGTACTTCCTTACAGGCAGCTTGAAAAGCAATAATCTCTGATGCAGTTATAAGACTGGGTGATTCAGGTAGGATGGAAGTGAAAATCACTGGAGGTGAGAGGCAGGGGGCTTTGGAGTGTCATCCAGGCAATGTTGAAGGTACTAAGCATGATATCACACATAGGGTGGCAGTGATAGCAGTGAGAGCCCTATTTGTGTTTTGGCACCCTGGAGAAGCTGGTCCTAAGGATGGAGGCCGAGCCGAGTTTCCTTAAGATCATAATGTATGCTATTTCCCAAAGAAAACAGTATCCAAATTAGCACAAAACTTGCAAAACCTCGTGCCCAGTCACCACTAAGGCCAGTGTCCCGAGCATTCTCTGGGCTGTACTCCTCCCAAGAGAGCCAACCAAATGTCTTACTTCTAAATAGAGAGCCAGTGAGTGCAAGCCCCAGCTGGCCTGCAACAGCAGGCTGTCAGAGCATGGATTCAGAAGCAACTCTCATAAGAGGAGGTCCCCAGAGTTTTTGGGAATAAAAAGCCGCCCTCCTTACCACCCAGACAACTGGAAGTTCAGGAGACAAGAATGGTGTCAGTGCCATGGAATGGGAGACTTGGCTCTGGATGTGTGAGGACAACCTCAAGTGGCAGTTTCTAATTTGGATAGAGTCAGGGGTGTATGGCCACTGTCAGTCCAAAACAGGGGTCATACGCACTAAGGAATGGGAGTCGAGGGTGGGATATCTGTCTTTCCCTACATAGAAGAGGGACGGCAGGTTCTTGGGGTCTTTGTGGTATGGGAGTCACTGAGACACACAAAACCTGGTCAGACATTTATTGGGGCAGTGGAGCCAGTTCTCCACCCTATAGTACTTTTAGACTGATAGGATTTCAATGTGGAACTCGGGCAGGTTGGGAACGACTTCATATTGTTCCTGTAGACTATCACTGGTGCGGAAGGTCTGGAAGGTGAAGCAGCCTTCTGGGGCCTGGAGGATGCAGAGAGCGTTGCACATGCGGCAGTAACGTCGATGGCACTGCCACATGCGAACCCAGGACTGGAGCTTGACTGCCGCCTCCTCTTGGATTACATAGATCTTCAACAGGTCCTGCCGCCACTTCAGAACCCGCCTCCACAGGACTGTTCTCCACCAGATCTGAATCATCCAGGCCCTGAGGGCAGCCACCAGCAGGGTGCGACGCACCAGGGTGCCGCGCCACCAGGCCTGGATCTTCCCAGCCGCCTTGGCTCTTGCTCTGCGGCGTTTTTCATGAAGCCGCTAACCAAGCAAAGCAGAGGACACCACGTGAATTTGTCACAGACAACCACAGTCTGGTGCCTGCCACAAAGGAGCTCTGATCTTCTCTCTTAACAACCAGCCTTTCCCCCTGGTGGTTCTGAGGACCCAGGAGTCCAGGGTGGGGTTTTGCCTCTACTATCTTGTCTGTGGCCACAGACACACGGGCTCATCCTCTGAGTCCTGGGTCCTCATCTACAAAATGGGGAAATCCTTGCCCTCTGGTCTTCACAAGTTCGTGGAAATCAATGGAAACACCTTCTGATCCAGAAGACTTGGCATGGGTGTGAGGCGCCAAAGGGTGCTCCGAGGATGAACCTCTGCAATTATGGCCTGTGTCTCAGCCCACATCCCAGCCTGTGATGTTGCCTCCTGATGCTCCACAGCGTGCCATGACCCCTTGAGGCCTTTCCCTTACCTCATTTCTTTTGATTTCCACCACTACCTCTCAGCTACCCCCCATATCCTGCTTATCCTGGGCCACTCCTTCTCCAGCTCTGAGGTGCCCACTGCTATGCCCCAACTTCCAGGGACCTGTTCACATCCCAATTCCTCACCTCTCTGCTGTCTCTCCATACTTAACACAGCTCACTCAGAGGAGGGAGGGGGTTTATGGGGACAGGAGAGCAACACTGAGTTGACTCCTCAGCTGTGGAACCAGAGATGGATCCTCTACTTCCAAGAACTTTGTGGTGGACAATCAGTGATCTCTGGTTGTCTCGTGCTCCTGGGCCCCACCTACCTTCAGTTTCTCTTTCTCTTGTGCATCCTTATCTGGACCAGACTTCTGCAGTCAGAATAGAGGGAGAAAGCATGAGTGAGGGCCAGCTTCTGTGCCAAGTCCTCACAGCCCTACCTCCCCATTCTTTCCGACTCCTTTGAAGTCATCTGGTGCTTCCTTCTGCCCTGGACCAGCTCCCCATCCCCAGGGAAAGGGTGTCTGTCTTACACAGCATTTACTGCCCATTGTTTGGGGGCAGTGTTTCTGGTGTTCACACCCCCTCTGGTTGCTGCTCCATTGGCCCTGGCAGAGGCAGGAAGGGTAGGAGAAGAGGAGTTAGCCATGATGTCACAAGGGCAACTATGACCCAAGGGCCCGGTAGCCTTCTACAGGCTCAAAGTTGTTGGATAATGAGGAAACATCTGCCCACTTCCCTCTTGCCAAGGGTGGACAAATGGCCTTGGTGAAACCACAGCCCTTGTGAATCTGCCCTGTTCCAAGGATGATCTCTACTCGGCCCACCCACAGGACCCTCCCGTTGTCAGCCCCTGAGGAGGGCAGCTTACACAGCACAGAGGAAGGCGTACGGGCTCAGTCTGCTCCCTGTATCCTGCCTTCTCTGCCACCATACCCTTCCTCAGTGTGTGGGGAAGTCTTTTTAATGACCATCACTGGGAGTATGGAGGGTGAGCCAAGGAAGGGTCAGGATGGAGGTACCTCAGTCAATTTCTACTTCCTCCAGCTGCTGTAACCGCCTGTCCTCCTGGAGCTGTTTGGTCCCTAGCAGACCAATAGATGTTTCTTAAAACAAAACAAGCCCTTCCAATTCTGTGTCTGAAACTTAGCAGGCTGGAGGAATTTTCCAAACATGAGTCATTATGTAGAAGAGTGTCCCCCAATATAGTCTCCTCTGGTGGTAGCAGTGGTCCTATTTTAAAGGGTCACTTAGTTATTCAGGCTTGCTTCCAAGACCAGCTGCCTTTGGCTGTCCCCACTCCCATCTCTCAGCCATGCTCACTTCTCTTAACCGACCCTAGATAGCACTCCCTCCAGACCTCAGTAACATGCTGACATGGTCTCTGTCATTTCAAGGTATCAGCTCCCCACCAAAAAAAGATAGGATGTGGCTTTCTGCTCCATCCCAGACAACCCCACTCTTTCTCCCTGCGTCATCTCAGTTAGGTCACTTGCAGTTTAGGTCCCCACTCACAGATTAGTATTTATATTATTGTGACTCTGTGAGTTCCACTGACCACTGTGCTACAGAGCACAACTCTGCTTCCCTACACTTTCCTGCACAACTTCACAAAAAGCTTTTTATCATGAAAACGTTTCAATATATACAAGATTTGACAACAGATCATGAACTCCCCGTGTACTCATGACCCAGCATAACCTGTTCTCCTCTTTGCTCCGCTGCTGAGTCACTCCAGCGGTTCTCTACAGCAGACAGTCCTGTGAGAGGAGCATCTTCCTGCATCTCTGTAGAGCCACGGAAGGCTTTCTCCTGGGGACACACACTAGTGTGACTTGCTGAGTCGCGGGACAGGTGGCTCCTCCATGCTACTATGTGCTGACAGATTGCTCTCCACAGTGGCAGTACCAGTCCAACTTCTGTCAATCACCTCCTAATTTCTGCCAAACTGAAGGATGTGAACTGATGTCACCTTGTTGTTTTAATTTACATTTCTCTGACTAGGTACTCGCGCAGAGCATGAGCTTCAGGGTGGGTAACTTGGCTCCAATCTGGACACAGACGTTTTCTGGCTGTGTGAACTGGAGCAACTCTTTCAGTGGTGTCTGTTTCCTCCTGGGCAAAGTGGAGAGAACAATACAGTGCCTCCTTTAAGGAAATGTGGAAATCCACGCAGGTAGCATCTTAGGAATGACACCTGGCCCTAGTACGGCCGTGCCTTTCAGCTCTCAGGGTTATCTCATCTTGGCCTTCTGTCACCTCTGTGTAGTTGCCTGATCTAGTCCTTGGCCTCTTTTCCCACTGGAATCCCATCATCCTCTTGTATGACTTCTGTGGACAACCCTTTGCTGGATGGAAATGTTGCAAATATCTTCTCCCACACGATCATCTGCCTGGTGACTTTTTTCACATTCCCATCAACACCTGTCTTATTAATTTTCACCATTCTCATCAGTGTGAAGTGGTATCTCATTGTGGTATTTATTTATTTATTTATTTATTTATTTATTTATTTATTTTAAATTTATTTTTTATTGGTGTTCAATTTGCCAACATACAGAATAACACCCAGTGCTCATCCCGTCAAGTGCCCCCCTCAGTGCCCGCCACCCAGTCACCCCCACCCACTGCCCTCCTCCCCTTCCACCACCCCTAGTTCATTGTGGTTTTGATTTGTATTTCCCTGATGTCAAGTGATACAGAGCATTTTTTCATGGCCATATGTATCATACATATGTTGGCCATATGTATGTCTTCTTTGGTGAAATTTCTGTTCATGTCTTTTGCCCATTTCATGATTGGATTGTCTAGAAGAATGGAACTAGACCATTCTCTTACACCATACACAAAGATAAACTCAAAATGGATGAAAGATCTATAGGTGAAACAAGAATCAATCTATGAAGGCAAGGGAAACAAAAGCAAAAATGAACTATTGGGACTTAAGATAAAAAGCTTCTGCACAGCAAAAGAAACAGTCAACAAAACTAAAAGACAACCTACAGAATGGGAGAAGATATTTGCAAATGACATATCAGATAAAGGGTTAGTAGCCAAGATCAATAAAGAACTTATTAAACTCAACACCCAAAAAACAAACAACCCAGTCAAGAAATGGGCAGAAGACATGACATGGTCTCTTTCATTTCAAGGCATCATCTCCCCACCAAAAAAGACATACAAACACATGGCCAACAGACACATGAAAACAGGTTCAACATCACTTGGCATCAGGGAAATACAAATCAAAACCACAATGATATAGTACCTTGCACCAGTCAGAATGGCTAAAATTAACAACTCAGGAAGCAACATATGTTAATGAGTAAGGGGGACACTCTTATACTGTTGATGGGAATGCAAGCTGGTGCAGCCACTCTGGAAAACAGTATGGAGGTTCCTCAAAAAGTTAAAGAGAGAACCACCCTATCACCCAGCAATTGCACTACTGGATATTTACCCCAAAGATACAGATGCAGTGAAACGCCAGGACACCTGCACCCCAGTGTTTATAGCAGCAATGTCCACAATAGCCAAACTTCAGAAGGAATCTCGGTGTCCATTGAAAGATGAATGGACAAAGAAGATGTGGTCTATACATACAATGGAATATTACTCAGCCATTAGAAACAATGAATACCCACCATTTTCTTTGACGTGGATGGAACTGGAGGGTATTATGCTGAGTGAAGTAAGTCAATCGGAGAAGGACAATCATTATATGGTTTCACTCATATGGGGAATATAAGAGATAGTGAAAGGGATTATAGGGGAAAGGAAAGAAAATGAGTGGGAAAAATTAGGGTGACAAAAAACATGAGAGACTCCTAACTCTGGGAAATGAACAGAGGGTAGTGGAAGGGGAGGCAGGTGGGGGCATGGAGTGACTGAGTGATGGGCACTGAGGGGGGCACTTGAAGGTGTTATACTATATGTTGGCAAATCGAACTCCAATATATATGTGTGTGTGTGTGTGTGTGTGTGTGTGTGTGTATACGTGTGTGTGTGTATAAAAACACCCAAGAAACAAATAAAAATCTTTAAAAAATAAAAAATAACTTCTACCTTTCAATTTTTTCAATTTAATACTTATAGAAATCCTACTAGTCAAATCATAGATTGATCTTCTGATTTTCCAATATTTTCTATACAATTTTATTTTATTAAAAAGATTTTATTTATTTGAGCAAAAGAAAGCACATGAGTGGGGGAGGAGCAGAGAGACAGATACAAGCAGACTCTGTGCTTAGCACAGAGCCTGATGTGGGGCTCAATCCCACAACCTTGAGATTATGACCTGAGCTGAAATCAAGAGTTAGACACTTAATCAACTGAGCTACCAAGGCTCCCCTACACTATTTTCTAACTGTCTTTTTATTATACTTTTTGGAAGATTTTCTCCATTTTTAAGGTCTTAACTTTAAAGAGCTCTTTCTTGTCCTGGGACTATTCTCCTTTTATAGCACACTATTCTTGTTTCATTGATTCATCATCTCTTGTTAGGAATATTAGTTATGATTGTTAGTTTGGTTTTAAACCTTTTTCTTTTGTTGCCAGTATTGTCTCTATTTCTTTTAAACCCCTTTTATTCTGTTTTTGTTTTTATCTCAGTCTCTCATGTTAATGATGCTTGGTTGTCTACTCATGTGTATGAGCATGGCACTAGAATGCCAAAGGGAAGCTCAGCATCCAGGGTGGGGCTTATTAACTGGTGCCACTCAGTATAGGTTAATAAGGCAGAGTCGGATTTTGTCTCAATGGGGGACCCTAAATATAAGCATTCATTTGTTTTATTCTTTGGAGCTTATGGTAGATTGCTTTAGTGGACCTGTATTCATACTTTTTCCCCTGGAACTTTGTACTTTCTTCCCATAAGGGGATATCATGTGCCTTGAGTTTGGCAGTGCAATATGCTTTGGTCAGGAGAATAAGGTGGAATGGTGACATGCAAATTTGGGCTTGGCTTTGAACGTCTTTGCCAATTTATGTTTGCTCTTTTACACTTCTGCCATTGCCAACAAGGAAGTGCTCAGGTAGCCTCCTGGTATGAGGAGAAGTATGAGAAATATGTGGAACAGACTTCCCTAACCAAGTGATCCTACCTAAACACAGCCTAGGTCAACATTCTTACTCTTGCATGCCATTGAGGCTTATGGCAGTCTGCTATGCAGCATTTGTGTAGCAATAATTAACTGATGCCCCTGAAAGGTATCCCAGAACCTCAAGCCAAAGAGTAGAATAAAACCTGGCTGCAAGCCTTCAGGAAGGTGAGTTGGCACAGAGGGCTGGAGGCCTCACTGTCCAGTCTACACACTTTCAATTAATCCCTCCATTTTGGTATGGTGCTTCACCTTTGCCTTCAGCCATGACTGAAATCTCTGCATCTAGATGCTCTCTGGTTCAAGTATGCAGAACTATTGTCCAACCGTACACATGAAGGAGGAAAATGGGGTGAAGGGGAAATACAACAAATCATTATTTAAATTTTTATTCCTCATTTTAGATTCTTAGTAGTTTGTGTCTCAATTGTTATTATTACAGTCTTGTGGTA